ATGCAGCACTGCATCTTGGCTCGTTTAGGAAAAAAGACCTGGCAGAGTGGGATAGCGTACCAAGCTGCTTTGTTCTTAAAATGGTCAGTAGATTCAGTGTTTAAAATAAGAGTTATATTCAACTCCATAAGTAATAGAAAAAAAAAAACACAATAAATTATTACTATTATCTTAAGTAGCTGACAAGTCACATAACCATGATGCATAAAAGAATACATATACAACAGATAATAGGTTATTGAAACTTAGTTATTTTTCGCAAAAAGAATTTGAAACTTACAATGAAGGAATAAATTATTTTGTATAAAACTATCAATATACTGCTAAGAACCAGATGGCAGAAGAAAAAAATTAATCTCGAGAATGAAGCATGGGTAAGATGAGACAATTGATGCATCTAGCACAAAGAAAATGGGTACCAAGAGGAAAAACATATACTGAAAATTTTGATAAATGCTAGTTTAACACAGATAAATGAAGTTCCAGAAGCTATAAAATCACTTAATATCTACCACACCAGGATTCCAGTTTTGCAGTAGAAATCACCAAAATCACATAGATTAAAGTAAGGAAGGAAAACCTAGAAGATAAAATCAATTAAGTAAACAAGACAAACGAGAAACATAATATCAACAGTTTTCTTCGGACAACACATAAAGCCTTTCCAGTTTGTTATTTTAATCAAAACTTAGCAATTGATCACTTTTGCATTGAGCTGTAAGTTGTTCATACCTTCCTATAGTAGCCATACCAAAGAAGGTGCTGCTTTTGACAAGTGAACAGGTAAAAGGAGAGTTGAATGACGAACAAAAAGTATTGGTTCGAGCTCGATAATAAACAAGGATAAAGTCTCATTTTAACCTAACAATACATTCATAAGAGGTTTAAATGATCCAAAAGAGCTCCGATTATTTTTCTAGTTAAATACCTAAGAACTTACCATTCATTTTTTCAGTCACCCAGTTGAAAGCATATTAACAAAGATTTATAGTGATTGCAGCAATATTGTAATATCCATAGGATAAATGAAATTTTATAGCTAAGTTGACACTGAAGCAATACTTGAGTAAGTAGAGAATGGAAAACGGGTTCGACAATTAAACAACATAATTATTTAGCCTTTAAAAATAAAAACCCCTGTAATAGATGTGAAAATTGAACATTGAGAATATGAAATTAATAAATGAAGAGACACCTTCCATAGATGATATTTCTAAGGGAAAAAATATGGAGCCTTGTTATTCGTTTATCTGCATCTAGTTGTGAATCGAAGTGATAACCATTCGTATTTTAACTATATAATTGAGGAAAGTAGGATGATTCACGTGATGACTCTAAGAATTTCAAACAAAATCAACCATCAACACATATATGTAAGATCATACGTACGCCAAAAGTACACTCTAATTTAATTGAATACGAAGGAATTGTCTAAAATATATTGTTTTCTTTAGTTCAGAAGATGTTCATTCTCTTTAAAAGAAAAGGGTAAAAAGAGTTCTACAAATTTGAGTGTAGGAACTTCCATAAATATTCTTTCTAGTATGAAAATAATGTCAAGAAACTCATATTTTGTTTCAGAATACAATTTAAGCGATAATTTTCCTTTTAATTGTATAACAAAGTCATATGCTAAACGTGACACATGTAGTCCTTAGAACACAAAAGATTTGATTACAAACATAGGTAATTCTAAGCACGAATGAGTAATTAATACCTGAAGAAATCAAAGGTAGTATGTGAAAATTATAAGGGAAACTTAATCGACAAACACTTTCTAAAAGTGCTCAGAACCTCAAGCTTAAGAAGCTTTCTTCCAAACTCTGCTCATTTTGTATTTAATATTAAATGTTTAAACATTAATTGGAGAACGAACATAAAAGTTCTGATGAACCTAATAGTTATTCCACATGAACGTTGTTTTTGATTGAAAATAATCAATTAAGGTGACCAACCAAAAATAATAGTATTGGCAGAACAACAAAGATGAAGATGAAAAAGAAACATGTTTGAAGATATACAAATATGTGGAGTTACTAAGCCTCTGTTTGGTTTCCAATTAAAATCTCAAGTCAAAGTCAACAATTAATTTAAATCACATATTTCATGGGATCCACAACTTTTTAACGACACATTTTATCAACTTTTATCAAAATCTACTAAAAATTTGATTTTAATCTCTACCAAACATGGGCAAGAGTTATTAAACTAAACTAAATTATGTGAAAGATAAACCGATTTTATATTAACATTGCTTGATGTAACTAAATACAGTGATGGTAACTATTTGCTACAGGTTAAAACAAAGAATGCATAATAACTAAAGCTTTGGGATCAAAGCATCAAATAACATAAATTGAGAGCAATATAAATTTGACATTTCTAACTTACAATATACAGAGAGATATGTCCATTTGTAATGCTTGCTTCACCACTCTAGCAATTGTTGTTTGGCTTCTTTGGGTAGCTTCCTTTTCTTCCTTCTCTCCAAAACTCTTGCTTCAGGCTGCCAAAATTTGTAATACTTGCTCCACCTACGACATATTAAATAAGCAAGAACATTTTAAGAGTCAGGAATATCAAAATTATAACAATATAAAAATTTGTATATATGCAAGAAACTAAGCACATCGAACTTGCTGGAAGTAGAACATAACTTCAGCAGTCTTCCAATTATGGAAATTGGGATGCAAGAACGAAAATCTGCACAAATAACGACTTTAAAGGACATAAAAAACATGTACAAAAGGGACTTCTGAATGTTTAGTGCAGTCCAACAAATTTTTCGACATGAACATCAACATTTAGAATTTTTTGCAATAAAATTTATAAATAGCTTAACCAGAACTGAAGGCCAAAGTATTGTCCAAAAAATCATACTTGCAAAAGAACAGCGAAATCAAATTTAAAAAAAATGATATTAAAAATACCAAAAGAAAAAATAATCTCGAATTAAATGCATATTCTTGCACATATTTTGAAATCGATGTAACAAATCTTGCAACATATAAGAAATTCTAGCAGCTGATATACAAATGCCGAAGAATTAATCAACTATAAATGAAAAATTATTTATTTTCGGTCGAATATAAGCTCAACATATTATTGAGATAAAATTGTTTTGGGTTGGATGTACACTTACCAAAAGGAACTCAAAACAGTTTCAAGAGGTAATATTTTATAACTCACATTGATGAGAAAAACATCATGGCAAATGTGGCCGTGGCACTTTAAAGTAGCCATATTAGTCTCTTTCAAAACGAGGTAAAGTATTTCATTAACACAAGTTCAAGACATATGAATAGAAGCTTCTTCAGAAAATATAACATAAAAAGAAAAGAAGCAAATGAAACGAAACCTTGGTGATCTGTAGCAGAAATTCAATCGAAAAGAAAAGAAGAAGCCCAAATTCCTTTGAGCAAAACATTCTCAAGAATAGAGACCTCCAAATGCGATAATGACAATTTCAGAGAAAATTCAGAATTTGACATTAGCATCTGAGATTAATTTTACCTCCAGTTCAGCCAAGTGTTTTACCTCCTTTTCCATGTCATTCCTAGGGCCTCCACGAAGAAGCTTGTATTCTGCTTCTTCTGCACCATTGCCTAATGCAAAAGGAAGGGCACATACTTTAACTGAAGAGAAAAAAAATGTCAAAAAGTGATAGAATTAAAAAAAGTGGTAAGGGCAGAACGAAGAATCTCTTAGTTGACCCACCATTTACCTCCAACCTTTTTGTAACCTCCTACAGACCATTTGAAGTGCTTTGGATAGCAGCAAAACCAAGCAAATGTTGTATCTCCCGATTCTGTTTATATTGACTTGGGAACGAGCATTTGTAGCAGATAAGAAAAGCTACCATAATAAATATTTGAAATTATAGAGCTAAAAGAACGGACTACAAGAAGCAGCTACATGGTAAATGAGATAAAAAGTCGACGAAAGATCGAATCCTCCTTGGTCCTCAGTGTAGCAAAACTACCAGGATTAGTCTCCATTATTTCTTCACAGGAAAATGGTAATTGAGAGTACGACTCTTTATAAGAACCCTGAAGCTGCTCCGATGAAAAGTGAAACATACGCTCATAGCAAAATGTGGCAGAATTCTGAGCAATTGAGTATAGATAACATCAACCAAAGAATAAATTACAACATAGTGATATATATGATGTCTTATTTTACTATAATTTCTGCTGAAAGTAACTGTACTATTGGCACAAATGGAAAAATTCAGGGGATAAAATCATAAAATAGAAAGTTGAGAGCTCTATAAGACAATCGAAATTGCAGGATTTGATTAAACAACATAAATTATTTTATAATCTGGACCAAATATAGAATTGAAGATATTATAATATTTCAAGTCAAATCAAGCTATTTTTCAGGAATTCGCAACAAGCCTAGGTACGTAATTTCCAACAAACTGTTGAGGTAATCACATCTTTTTTCTCATTTGGAACAAACAAATCACTGTTTGGGTGGTAATGAGAGCCTTTTTTTCCCAGGGCTTCTACTCCACTGTCGTAAAATATGCGAATATGATAAATAATGAGGAAATGAATAGATACAAGTTTTATTAAATTGAAGGACTTAATTAACAGCTTACCAGATAGATAGGGTATGCAAGCAAGGGGAAAGGCATTGTGAACCTCAATTTTTTGGTAACATTATCCAAATTCTTGTAAATCTTCTCAGATAACTGGAAATTTCATTGGAGAAGACAGATTAATCTTGCATTTTCTAGCTGTTGAACATGATAAAATAAAGAAGAAAAGCATTTAATAAATGACTTACTGGATGCCACGATTCATCATTATCGACGTGGCCATGTTCTGATGTGAGTCCTGTGGCTAATTTTCCTACAACATTCACCAGAACAAAATTCATCAGTTTCATGCGGCTCTATTAATAGATTTCTCATAATTAGAAGAAAATATTCTCATACCATCCATGGTAAGGGACAAGAATTGAAGACTGAAGAAGATGTCTTGCTACACTATTCAGCTTTGGATTATTTGAAAAACTTCCATGCCCACTGCACAAGACAAAACCCAGAAAAATTAACCCTCAACACTATAAATTCATTCATTAGGCACAATATGCGAACTACAACGAAAATTAAAGCAAAAAATTACCAGTGATGACCAAGAACAAAAAGAGCCCAGAACAAAGTCCATTGAACAAACCAATACAAAGGCCAAACAACCCAGTTGTTAAAATAAACAGCCACAGCTGCTAATCCAAAAACTACCACAATATCCCTAAATAAAGAATAGATGATTCATAAACTACCTCTTCCAGCTAGGGTTTGCCTGTGAGCATTTAAAGAATAGATGATTCATAAATACGATGTATGTATAAATAGGAAAAAAAAAGAGGATTGAAATGATATAGATGATTAAAATGAAATATGTACGAGTACCTTGTGATGCTATAAAATTAAGGTGCTTGGCAACTGTAAGCTTTCGTATGTACTAGTGCACGCACTGCACGTGCTATTGTTTAATTGGCTATTTATTAGCGTTGAGTGATTTTAAGGTATTAAAAAATGCAGTCAAATGGAGCTAAGCAAGTTACAAAGAGTAAGAACTTGCCTCTTCTTTGAAGTTGAAGTCGTAAGTCTTGTCTGATCAAAGAAAACCAAATTCTAAAAGTTAGACATCACATATGCGAGATAAACTCTTTGACCCTGAGCTTATAGACATAATAGAAAAGTGCAATTTGGGAACGTCAGACATTCTAAGTTCCATCAAGTTGTTGAACCATAAAATTATCTATACCAGTCTGATCCGTTGGGTCCTGTTTAAGCAGCTACACTTCATCTTTCAGTTGGGAAAATTGATGGAATAATATTTATTGAAGAAAACAATTTTTCGTTTGTTATATAACATAGGCCTAAAATGTCAAGAAAACAAGATTTAAGGCAGTAAGAATCACGCTAAAGCTGAGGAAAACAAACATTTCCAATGAATATTATTTTCATTAAAAGATGTCTTGGAAGCAAGAAATACATTCAAGCCATTCAATAATAATGAACAGAAGTGCTCAAATTTCCTCATTAAAAAAAAAAAAAGGATTCAGCAAATGAATTGAAGGAAAAAATTAATGAGAAATTACATCTTCTATATAATGTATATACTACTTGTTTTGTAGGAGAATTTAATAATCCAAATACTTTGATCTGAAGTTGTATAAGACATAAATCTGAAACAATGTGAAGGTAAGCTCCAACTGTGGAGCTTATGCTACCCATGCATCCAAGGGTTGTCAATAATCCACCAACGTTCCAAACAATGTGAAGGTAAGCTCCAACTGTTTATGATAGTGATGCACAACATAGCAACAGATAAACCTACAACCAGGCAATCCAATACATCGCTTCCCCTTTGAATTGTAAACTAAAATTTCCAGTAATCATAGTTACTAATCATAATTTTCAAATTATCAAACATCAGATATGAGAAATGAAACATGGCAAGTGTAAAGAAGAAAAAATAAAATCAAATATTTACAAATAAACGAAATCTTCCCTTCTTTCAGAAAGCTTCATAGAATACAATTATAAAACATTCAAATAGTACGAAGAAAAAAAAAAACTTAAAACGAGATCCATAGAGAACTTATCTTTCGAAATGTTTATGTAAAAAACAAAATAAAGAAAAAATATACCTCCAGAGAAGTATTGAAAGAATAATTTTTCATTATTACAACCATCCTCCGTTGCATCTATTTGTTACACTATCACATCTTTGTACAAAATAGAAAATATGAATGGATTAATCAGCCAAAACAGAAGATATTATATTTATGCAAGTACAGTAAGTGTATGGAGATGAGGAAAATGAAGCAATTAAGAAGTTCCCCCAACCTCCAAATAGTTCAGATAAATGTAAGGTTTATTGCCAGTACAATGGTTAGATTACGTGTATCAGATAGTTTTTATATAAATGAACATACTATCACTTCATAACCAGTTTTTCTACTGCAAATTATACGACCAAAAATAATTTAACGATGTCATACCAGTTGACACAATCAGACAAAATATAGGAACCAAGTGCATTATGAATAAGGATTTCCAATCAGTTCACAATGTCAAACCAGTTGGGATAATCAGTTGGTGGTTTGAAGAAATCATCCTAATATAAATAACTTCAAAAATTAGTCTGGATCAAAGGAAGACATACCCGCTCGACAATTTCATGTCGTTTAAGATTCCTTGAGAAACCCCCTTGTCGGTGGCACAAAACGAACAACGCAGTGGGCATCCCACCTGGTTAACAACAGTGGAAAGTAAATGTAATTAAAATACCATTATAAGCCAGTTCGGTATTGTTAAGATAGAAAGTTCTTAGAGGCCACACTAAAATGTTGTATAATCTCAGAATGACAATTCAAATAAGTTTGAGTATCCTATCTTATTTTTAAGGTGCGTCCAAGCAATTAAAACTGCTTGCTTCTTGCTCATAGCAAAGCAAAACTTTTTAAGTTCTTATAACTACTAAAATGAAAAACTTAAATTGCTTGTAAGCTCTTACTGCTTATAAGTGATATAAATACCCTCTAAGATGTATGCTAATTAAGTTCATAAATAGCATTTCCTAAAAGGAAGTAACCTAGCCTAGAAAAAAATTATAAGCTGTGAAAGTTACCTGTGATGAGACACAAGCAGTTAGACGAACAGAACCTTTATCATCGTTAACGGGTATGCCGATAGTTTCGACCAACTTATTGTCCTGAAGCTTTACAAGTAACTGAAAGAGGAAGGGAAATTATGAGAGCAGGATATTGGAAGGAAGTAGGAGAAGGGAATACATAGGGAGAGAGGGAACAGGAAGGAATGAGAGATCGTTTGACAAAATTAATGTTGAATGTACATCAGAAAGCAACAAGTATTCTGCCAAAGAATTTTGAAGTTCAGGAACTTACAAAGAGTCGTATACTCGCATAGACCACAATACTGCGTACATAATTTTGTAAGGGTAAAAATTTCAGATACGTCCAAATCTTGAAATAAAAGAAAGTAAGCATTTTTAGCTGTTTCTTTCAGTGAATTCTTTAAACAGTCTTCTCT